CCAAGGTAGGTCCTGATCCATGGCTCGGGACGTTGGTTCATCACCCGAGCACTGGTCGGGGTATGCGCTGGGTTGGAGTCAGGCTCGGGCTGCCATCGCTCGGCAGTCCGGGGTCTTTGGCGAGCCCCCGAGCCCCGAGCGTCGGCCACGAGCGTGCTTGGGCTCTCCCTGACTCGTTCCAGAGGGTGCACACGAGCGTATCAGATGGGTATAGCCCCTGGGCGGTCTGTAGGATCAGTCAGGGGGGGGTCTGTCGGTCGGCTTCCCCTTTCCCGAGGACTTAGCATACCCCTATGTTAGACTCTCGTCAGATGATAATCTTTTTAGCAACGTGGTGATTAAGAATCTGGCAGGATGGAAAGTTTGGCTAAGGCTGGTTTGTGCCATGGTATGGTGGGTATTGTTATGGATGTGTTATGATATGGTGATTGGATGTTTGGGCTTGTGCTCGTTCCTGCTTGGATTCTAAGGATCGGTTCTCGGAGCATGTAACGCGGCTTAACAACGCAACCATGAGGTTTGGATGGGTTGGACCTGGCAAATTAATTAGTTTCCTCCAAGTTCTAATTTGGCACAAGGGGGGCTTCTGCAGTGGTGTTGGTACCTAGCTCTTCGGACTAGAAGATGGAGTTTTTGGAAGACGGTGTTTCCTGAAGACAGTGTCGATGCTAGGCTGGTGTACCCCCGGTCGGCTGCATGCGGGGATGAAGACCCTGCTTCGCTAGAATTTTGATGTAATTTCTGTTTAGACCCTCTGGTCATTTTGTAATAAGTTATCGTTTTTGTAATAAACACTGCTCTGTATCACTATACTTGTCATTGCATGTACGAATAAACAGAACCTGGCATACATGTGATGTGCATTCGATTTTGTCCTTAAAATCGGGTGTGACACTATATTAACCTCATTTCCCTAATCCTCTTTCCATACAAGGATTAAGCATATATTATTTACTCAGTGGTTTACCAGCTAATTCATGCCGCGCGGGAGGGCACGCGCAATGTACTAGTACTTCTATATTTGTAAAGTAGATCTGCGTGCGCTGGTTAGCTAGCACTACCGGAATCGAAAGCTTTGCCGAGTGTCATATTCTTTGCCGAGTGCTAGACTAAAGCAGTCGGCAAAGATTTTGACACTCGGCAAACTCCGAGTGCCTTATAAAAAACACTCGGCAAATATTCTGACACTCGGTAATTCTACTAAAAAAACACTCGGCAAACTCCGGCACTCGGCAAATTACGGCACTCGACAAACATCGCGCTGCGTGTCCCTCCATGAAAAGAGAAAAATAAATAAATAAATAAATAAATCCTTTACCGAGTGTCTAATATCTAACACTCGGCAAACTCTTTTGTTTGCCGAGTGTCAGATCTAAGACACTCGGCAAACTCATTGTACCTGATAAATATAAAAAAAATTCTTTCCACCACCCGTGACAGAGTTTGCCGAGTGTCAGATCTAGGACACTTGGCAAACTCGTTGTACCTGATAAATATAAAAAAATAGAAAATTCTTTCCACCACCCGTGACTTATCCCTTCCCTTGACTTCCCGGAAGGGGCAGAGAAGAGCGCAACGAGGGCAAAGCAGGCGATTGCGGCGACCAGGATCTAGTAGGAGGAGGCGGTGGGGGGCCTGGGCCTAGGGTCCTCAAGCGCGAGGAGGGAGCGGACGTGGGGCGGGAGTCACCACCTGGTGGAGGCGGAGCCCGTCCTTGCCGCCGCCGTCGCCGCCGTGGGGGGACGCGACCTACTGGATCCTGGTCAAGGAGGGAGCGCGAGGATGCGGACGCGGCCTCGGGGTCGCCCTTGGAAGGGGACCTGGTGGCGCGGGTCGCCACCGCTGCCACCGTGGCGTGCTGCAGCTCGGCCATGGCGCCGCCGCGCGGCGTATGGGCTGCAGGTGCCGCTTCTTCTTTTCCCTTGCTCCTTCCGCGACGACGCTAGTGTGTTCGTGGTGGGTGGTGGCAGAGGCGACGGCAGCAAACTATTCGGATCTCAGATTTTTGCAAGATTGGAGGTATGGTCTAGCATGTACTTCGTTTATACTTGTACGGGAAAAAGTCTTATATCATATTATGTTGAGAAGTGTGATTGTGTGTACACAAGGTGAGAGGAGAAAGGACTTGGTTTTGGTGCTATTTCCCTTGAGCTAGCTTCCTGGGTCGGCCTCAGCATTTTCCCACTGCTGCTGCTAATGTCAGGTTACTCTGTTACTGCTAATATCAAAACTGTCATTGCTTTAGTCCGTATATAAAAATTTTGTTAGAGTTGTCATCAGGTTCCTCTACCCCATAGAATGCTAGAACATTGAATTTGATCTAGGCATTGAATTTTATTGGGCACCAGCATTTTTTCACTCATTTGATGAACTGACATGTACTTTTGTTTGTTCTCACTCCTCACTGAACTGTGCCTATTACAAACATTAATTGTTTTATTTAGGAGTATGCTTATTTCTAATTCCAGCTTTTTACTTTGTACAACAATGTTAATGAAGACTTGAGTTACAAAACTGATTTTTTTTGTACAGCTCTCTAAGTATGCACTACTATTATCATCTGATCTGATTTATCAAAATGTCTGTTTGCAATTAAAGGTCCAAAATATCCATCATGTTGTTACTTAATTTTTTGCAGGTCATTGTTGACGAAAAAATGTAGAGATGCAACATGACATGCTTAAGGAAGAAGAATCTGACATGGTAAGATTGTCCTTCTCACTTCATTTTTGCTCTTTGTTGACCTGTACAGGATCTGATGCTCATGCAGTTTTGTTTTCTCTGGTTTAAATGCCTAAATCTTAAATTTGTTTTTCAGTCAACAAGTGATAGAACAAACTACTCTGTTGCTCTGATATTCCAAGTTGAGAGAATTTCACATATTCCAAGTTCTAGTAGTACAGCTTAATTGTTGAATCTGCTCATCTGCAAATTTATAAGACACATTTTCATTTATGCAAATATTAGTAGATAATGGATTTTCATTTGTGTGTATACCACCAGATTTGTAACTGGTGTCCGCAAATATGATTAGATAATGGATTGACAATTTAGTGGGAGAGGAAAACATATTCAGATAATTTAGCAAAACACACTTACTGGCCTCATCTATTACTAGATACTGTGAAGCACTAACTGTAATGTGTGGCCACACTCAAAAATTACATTGCATCTGGTTTAGGTGCACAATGTATGAGATATAATCCAACAGTGCAGTATTTATACTTTACTACAAGTTGACTTGTTACTGCTAATATAAGGTTGCTTTGTTCTTTGAACTGACGGTTTATTCCTTAACTGAAATAATAATATATTCATGGATTCAGATATCATATATGTATCTTTCCTGATTTCCACATGAGAATCATATAAGAAACATTCTCTTATACCTCAGATTTATTTTGCACAACCTTGATGTTTGTATCTCACATATTCATACAAAAATAGATCTTTATGATTATAATGTGCTACAGAACACACTATGATTTGCCTGTACCGTTGATGGTACGGTAACTACAGAACAAGATAATGTGAGGTCAAAATTTACATGTCCCTGATTTAGATGAGTGATGCCAACATATCTCATGGTAACACGTACATAATCTTGCACAATCTACAATTTGAATGAGTTAGAGATGTCAAATTTCACATAGAACTTTACAGATAGAACTATCTCAGCAAGTAGTTGTTTCAGAGCACTCTTCCAGTGTGATCTTGTAGCAATAATATTAGCCAAGATGAGAAAAAGATAACCAAATATCCACTAATTGTTCTTGAAATAAACTGTTTTGTATCTGAGGCTGTTATCTGTATACTAGTATTGTTAACTATAGTCAGGCTGTTTACAGCAAAGCTTAAAATGTATTTCTCATGAATGGCCCATTTTATCTTTTTTTTTGTATATAGAGGGATTACAGATGGGTCCTCTCATGCTTCAACCTACTTGGAAGCAATGGATGGAAGTATTTTTGTGCAGCGAATTGTTTGTTAATAGCTGTAAGCATCATGGCACATGTAGAATGTAGCCTATGTGTTGGCTCTTGGTTGTGCCATCCCGAATGTAGCATCTGTGTTGGTTTCCTTTATTTTTGAACCATAGAACGTAACTTGAGGCTGGAACTTGATCTATGAACAATTTTAGCTATGCTGAATTATATATGAAGACTGTAATGATGGTTGTCTGATGTATCATGACATCATTGATAATTATGTGGCGCGACTTAATGAGAACTATCTTATATAGTTATTATGAGAATTATGTTGCGACGAGCATGATGTGCATGCAGATATGGTGTACTAAGAGTGTTTTGTATGACAACTATTAAACTGAAAAATACTGAGAAAAAATTATTTTTTTCTTTGAAAAATATGTTTGCCAAGTGTAATTCCTAAAAACACTCGGCAAACAATAATGGTATGCTGAGAAAAAAATTATTTTTTTTTTGAAAAATAGGTTTGTCGAGTGTAATTCCCAAAAACACTCGGTAAACAATAATCCTTTGCCGAGTGTATTTTGGAAAAACACTTGGCAAACCACTTTTTTTTGCCGAGTGTCAAATTTGACACTCGGCAAACCATTTACCAAGTGCGCGATAAAAAACACTCGGCAAATAGCTGTTTGCCGACACTGTAGATGCCGTGTGCTGTTTGCCGAGTGTTACACTCGGCAAATCCTTTGCCGAGTGTTTTTTGGTCTTTGTCGAGTGTTGTCGAGTCACTGTTTCCGGTAGCGTAGGCTGAAGAACCTCAACCTGCCAAAGAATCTACATGTAATGGTTTGGTCTGGTCTGGTGCCCCGGGCCCCGGCCCAACAAATTAAAGAAACCCTGCGCCATCGCGTCGCGCGCTAGCTATCTGTTTGTCGGAGACCACTGCTGTGAACCAGCCAGCATCCCCTTCGCCAAAGTAAAGACAAATTAGTCCAGCCACCATCCCCATCGCCAAATTAAAGTACAGACAGATTCAACCAGCCAGCCCAGCCATTGCGGCTGATCTGATCGATGGGGCGTTGCCGTTGCTTCCCGGTTGCGTTGAGAAAGCTAATCGGCTTGGAACCGGAAGGCGACGACAACGTCGTCGAAAGGCCGGAAGAGCTGATCAATCGCTACGTGAGGCTTATGACGGCCACAGCCAACATTACAAGCGGTCTTGGGACGCTGGCGTTGCTGTGGTCCACCGTCGTCCTCCTCGGAGGCTTCGTCGCCGTTCTGGGGATGAAGGACTTTTGGACTCTCACCCTACTCAGCTTCCTACTGGCGTGCAGGTATGCATGTACCAAATCTTGTTTTGCCATGCATCTCCGATCCTCTCTGGAACTTAACACTGCACGTATGGCACTCTTATTGTCCTTAATTTTCCCTTTCTTCTCGTACATCCTATCAATTCTTCTATCTTGTTTCCTTAATTATTGTTACATATGAATGAAAATTAATTGAGGGGCTCACATATATACCTTACTATATACTTAGTTGAATTTTCCGAACGTTACTGGGGTGGTTAGAGACTAACTAATTTTAACTTATATTGTTGATGATTGCATTGGCTCAAATATATATTAATATAGATTTCAAAGTGCAAGTTATGTAAGGAAATATATAGGGAAAGCTATTTAGCACAACAGTGGATCGGACATGTTTTATAGTGTCGGCCGTCGGGTGAAGAAAGTTAATGGGCACAGAACTGGATCGATTTAGTATTATGACCAATGAGAATTGAGAAGGTGTGGTGCATTTGTTCCGAAAGGTACCCACGTAAACTAAAGGAACCGACGCCTATGTTACTGGCAACTTTTCTTTTTCTTTTCTTATCATTTTTTGTTTTTCTATATACTAGCAAACGTGTCTTAGAATCAGACTTCGTATCAATCATCGATGGACGTAAGTTGTAACTCATACGAGCACGGGTCATATGAGTCCGGGTCACATACGAGACAGTTTGGGAAGTAAAAAAGTGAGACAGAAGAAACTCTTAACTGTCTAATAGTTAGGGGGAGATGAAAAAAATAGGATGAAATTTTGGCTCTATAATATTACATGTAGATAGATATATCCATGAATGAAACAAATAACATGGGAAAACTTACAGCGAGGATGAACCCGTGCATATGCGTGAGTAGTCTATGCAACATTCAACGTTGATGATTCCTCATTGTTAGGCCTTCTCCTCACTATTAAGAGAAACATTATGCTAGCGCTTGTATTCCAGAGCTTTAACCACAATGATGTGCGCAGAGATACTTTCCCATGTTAACCTTAATTCCTTACAAAGCCTAATACCATATAAGAAGTGGTGTAAGTGACGAATACGTGATTGTGCCAATTCTATTTGTTGGAAAGCAAGCGTGCGAAAGCGAGAGAAATGGATGGAACTTATGATTGTATTGATTGATGAACAGTAAATGTGTGTGTATGGAATTACTGTTCTACATCTGGCTATAAAATAACTTATTCTGTGGCCACTTTAAGTTACGATAATTACTATGCTAATTTATGAGATTATAGTAACTCCTTGCTATGTGATTTACTATAATGTTAAGGTAAATAACCCATGTGTTATAGTAACGGAACTATCGTAAATATGTATTCTCTTTATCGTAAATTAGTTTAAAAATTAGGTGGCTATAGAATAACTTATTCTGTAGCTAGCTACTGAATACAGAGAAATAGTTCTTTTGTTAGTGACACAAGTATGTATGTGTGTGTGTATATATATATATATATAACTACTACCATATAGCTGGCTATAAAATAATTTATTCTGTAGCCACTTTGAGTTACGATAATTACTATGTTAATTTACGAGATTATAGTAACTCCTTATTAAGTGGTTTACTATAATGTTATGGTAAATATCCCCATGTGTTATAGAACCCTACTATCGTAAATATGTGTTGACATTATCGTAAATTAATATATAAAATTATCGTAAAAGGAGGTGGCTACAGAATAACTTATTTTGTAGCTGGCTAGTGAATATACTCTCCCTATATATATACACGTACAGCTGGCCACAGAATAACTTATTCTGTGGCCACTTTAAGTTACGATAATTACTATACTAATTTACGAGATTATGATAACTCCCTTATAAGTGATTTAGTATAACATTATGGTAAGTATCATCTCGAATTATAATAATCCATGTATCGTAAATGTATATTGTCATTACCGTAAATTAGTACAAACATTATCGTAAACCAAGGTAGCTATATAATAAGTTATTCTGTGGCCAGCTGTAGAATAGCCTTACCGTATATATATAGGGAAAGTATATTCAGTAGCCAGCTACAAAATAAGTTATTTTGTAGCCACTTCCATTTACGATAATTTTATATACTAATTTACGATAATGTCAATACATATTTACGATAGTTGGGTTACTATAACACATGAGGATATTTACCATAACGTTATAGTAAACCACTTAGCAATAAGTTACTATAATCTCGTAAATTAACATAATAATTATCGTAAAGTGGCTACAGAATAAGTTATTTTGTAGCCAGCTACAGGGTAGTAGTCCTATATATATATATATATATATATATATATATATATATATATATATATATATATATATATATATATATATATATATATATATATATGTATGTATGTATGTATATATCTATGTATGTATATACACACACACGGTAGCGTGGAGATCTAGATGTGAGTTGAGAGAAAATACAAGGATAGAAAAATGACGGATAGATAGGGTGTCAGAGTTATTTATTTGTTGCAAAATTTGGAAGGATAGGAACGTGAATGGCGTAAACTAAATAGAAAAAATTCTGTTCACCCGCCATAAATATCTACTACTACGTTGATTGATGGTTTTACTGTTGCAATGCATTAGACTATCATAGTTGCAGCATGGCATACTACAACATAAGGTCGTGTCTAGGTACTAGTAAATATCAGGAGTTAAGAAATAGTAATTAGTTCACCGGCATACAGCAGCGCTCCGTCAGTGCGTTGAATACTATTTAGCGTGCAGGGAGCTAAAGTATGTGTATGTGTGTGTGTGTGTATATATCATCAATTATACTTGTCATCTATCGTAGTCAGCCTTATGCCGCGCTGACCAAAGTGCAAATTTGATACTATTCCACAGGGTGGTTGACAATTATGACAAGGAGTTTAAGAGAGGGATTTATACGGAAGAGGTCAAAATCATGAGTTTTGTCAGGCGTCAGAAATGGATCGATGAGGCCACGGCCATGTGTCAAAGATTCATGCTGGGTACGGCGTTATTACCCAAGTATATTTTGTTGAGCTGCCTTTTGCTACTGTCCTTCAATGTTGCGCCGTTTGTGAGCCTGGGGATCTCAGTGCGGCGTCTTGTACGACGAGATTATGGCGACGCCGGAGGAGATGTTGCCAACAGAGCAAAACTGAATGCCGCACTGGACATCTTCTATGCTCTAGCTCTGTTGCAGAGTCTATTCGTCGTGTACTGGGTTGCCCTTCAAGTGATGTTAGACGCGTCAGTTTTGGAAGTCACGGCTGTGACGAGCAAACAATATGGAGGTGAAGAATGGAGTTTAACACTAGTTGATATGTACCGTTCAGAAACAAGAAGGAAGTTTAGGAAGGACGGGGAGCTGCCCGGCAATTGGAACTTCATCACCTACGGCGTTGAGTTGCTCCAGTCTGCATCTGGGGACGATGACCACCGATGGGGAGCAAGGATACTAGACAAGCTGATCTCTGGCAAGGATAAATCTGTAAGGCAGGAGCTGCTATCTTCCAGGCTCTCTATTCAGAATCTGATGGGCATGATTGGTCGTCGGAGAGGCGCAGCTGATGGTGACATGGAGAACAGAGAGCGCGCCACAACCATTGTTGCACACCTTGCCAGTGACCTCCATATAACAAGCTTCCCGGGTACATTGCAGTGCATTTGTTCCCTACTTGAAAGCACTAGCAGCTGTGACTGTGAACCAAAGTCGCATGCCTGTCCGTCGGGAAATCCTGATGAACAGGCGACACTGCCTACCGATGAAAATGATCATCAGCATGGGTCACTGGAAACATCCGAGCATCAAGACGATGGTACCCACATGGACATGGTAGCGCCCACCATCACAGACCAAACTGACGAGGAACGACAAGCAGTCGTCGTCAGTTCATCATCTTCGGGTTAGCCGCCAAGAGGAAAAGAAAACAGATTAAGAAAGACTTTGAGGATAATCCCATCATCAGGGTCCGGCAACTAGACAAGGAGCTGAAGAAATATTCTGAATCCAAGTACCGCCGCTCCTATAAATCTAGAGGAGCCAAAGAGCTGATTTCTCAGGGCCTCCTGATTCTTGAGAGGCTCACACAGGACCAAGGGAACTGTACAGAGATAAGTAAGGACCAAAGCCTCCTCTCTAGGATCACGTCACCACTGATGAGAAGCGCAAGCCATGGCGACTTCCTCACCAAGCTGAGCGACAACACAACGGTTGAAATGCTAAGCAAGTCACTCACAGTGCTGAGCAGGCTACTTACCGGTGCTGGAGATGACGTAACAAGGCTGCATCAGAAGCTGGCGAGTAACACAGAAGCTGTCAGCAATCTGATGGGTATCTTGGAGAATGACAGTGAAGGTGCCCAGAAACTGCATGAACAAGCCCTGGAGATCCTGACAGAGTTAGCATTCGATGGTTCTTTCAAAGAACTGGATTTTAACAAGCTTTTCAAGGCCCTGCTACGTATCTTCCTCGAGAAAGAGACTAACAATATTACAAAGCAAGAGCCCAACAATAATGCTACATCTCAAGTGGAACCAGCGGACACAGAGAGAGCACCCAAACTGAGGGGAAATGCAGGGGAAGCACTGGCCAGACTGCTTCCTGTTCGCGCTGCAAGAGGTATAATTTCCAAGCAAGAGGCGATCGACTTATTGAACAAGGTAACTCGCAACCTTTGCCTCTGCATCGCTTGTTATCTTGTTTGCAGTTTCTGAGATGTCACTTAAGCATATTATTTCTGTAGGTTCCAAATACTTTCCCCCACAGTTCATACGCTGATACGCATTTAGTGTGTTTGGGTCTACATTAGTATCCCTTCCGATCCCAAACATACACCATTTTACTAAGATAAATCCACCCGTTCCAAATTATAGGTCGTTTTGGGTTTTCTGAGTTCATAGATTTTTGTTATGTATCTAGATATAGATTATGTCTAGGTACATAATAAAATCTATATATGTAGAAAGTTAAAATGATTTATAAATTGGAATGGAGGGAGTACTCTGTGATATAGGTTGTTTTCTAGGCAATTTGGTCATCGATAACCATTTAAGCTGCTACCTGATATTGGCATCAGATACACTACAATAGTTCATGAAACCATACTCTCGCACGGCCGGTAGAATCTTAGGAGATATAAACATAAGATGCCATTTTTTAATACCTCTGACTAATTAAAAATACTTGTATTAATCTGCATGTTTTGTCTCTTCTGTCATTTTCTAACACAAGACATAATAGATAATTTGTACTCTCTAACTAGTTATGATAAACTTATCAATTCCTAATCAATATTTTTTCATCTATATCTATTTTTTTTTATTTTACACGGCACCTCTGAGCATGAATTTAGTTATAACCTTAACTTAAATAACGGTGGCTCTTATTTCAGCACATATCTTATGACATCATGAATTTAAATTTTAATTATCAAATTTAATCTATACATATTTTTATCCTCAAGTTAAGTTAATACTTGTATCCTCATTGTATCTTTTATTATGTTCTTTAGTATTTTTTTAAAATAAGGTTTTAGATCATAGATTACACTCTTGAGTACTAAGATGGTATAACATTGCTCAAGATTAGTGGTAGAGCTTGAAGTGAGATTTAGAATAATGTTGCAGTGCTAAAATTAAGAGGATATTAATTTAAGTCTTATAATGACTTGTTATTCCAAAGAAATCTCAAATGCCAAGAAGATTATAGCCACCTGTAGTCCGCATTAACCTCTCCACTTCTCCAGATGTTTGAATTTTCTTATGAAGGAATTATATGTGCAGTAATAGTTTTAACATCAATAAAGATATGTCAAATATTTTAGTTAAAATGTAAAAATAGATCTAAATTTCTATGGCTATTAATATTGTTTAAAAACACTTCGTTGGTATCATTAGTATATTAGGGGTTTATTTTGAATTATGTTTCATAATGGCAGGTGTAGGCAATTTAGATGAAAATCTAGGGGGTTATGACATAGATGGGTAATTTATATACAAATTTAGAGTGTTCTTGAATTATCTTTCATAATAGCAGAGGAGGGTAATTTTGATACAAATTTGGGTTTTACTTAATGTATTTTTCATAATGGTAAATGTGAGTATTTTTTATAAAACAGAATAGATGTAATGGCTATCATTGGCGATGATGATTAGAGATCGTACTAAATTAAAGACCAGATGTATTTTATTATTGCAATAATTTCTAGCCGCTTTTGGTGAGAATTAACATAGAGGCTCTGTTAGGACCTCTAGTTAGTAATAGTAGTATGCATCTGAAACTACAAGGGTCATCTTAATTTGTTCAAATAATCCATTAACTCCTCTCAATAATTTACGTACAGATAAAATGTCATGCTTGTTTCACTAGGGATGTTGCATCAATCTGTATCATGTATGATACGATCGTAGTATTGCTGATCATTTGTATTAAATTATGTTTCTTGCAGGTTCTCCATAAAATACTATCTAGTAAAATGGGAACAACTGCAGATGCGGTAGAGATTGTCGTAGAAAACCAGCCCCAAGAAGATGCAGACACTGACAGTGTACAGCCTCCCATTCAGGAAAATGAAAAGCAATCTGAAGAAAGAAAATTTATGGCAGCCATGTTATCCCTCGCCGTGGTGATATGCAACGAAAATATGATCAGTAAAGAAGATTTTGCTTGTGCCACCGCCACCCCTCGAGATGGAGCAGTGGCAAAGAAGCTCAAGGAAATATTACAAGTAAACAAACAGAGCACGGCTCAGTGTTTGAGGATAGTGAAGCTTACCTGCCAGGTGGTTATAGTCATGATTGAAGTGAAACCCAGCTGCATCGCACATTTCAATGAACACAATTTCAAGGGAACACTGGCCGAGGCATTGGAAACCATGTCGGAGGTTGATGACTGCATGCTCTTTGCTGGGAATGAATGTGAGGTGATCAAGCCTGCGAGGTCTCTTACTTCTCTTGTGAAGGAAGCACATGAACTCCTGAAGACAGCACAAGAACAGGGTAACTGGTATGTCTGAATGATCAAGGGGACATCGTTAAGTATATATATTATTGTTATCAATATCTGAATGGAACCTGGACGTGCATATCGTGCTTCTGAAACCCTCCGGTGCCTAATAGATTGGTTCTGGGTTTGATGTGCGTAGGTATTTGTTTGAGGCGAGCTCCCTCTTATTTATAGTACTGTGGATCCGGGGCCGAACCAAAAAAGACTTGCCTAATATATTAGGCACTAGTTTTTGTGGATTTATTACTTGTGTACCAAGTTAACATGTTGGCTGAGATCACGTTCGAACATGCATGTACTTGTTAGCTGAGACGACCTCATTCTCAATTCCTGTTTCTTTTGACATGTTTGCTTCAATTCTCCACAGACATTACAAGGGCACGGTGTCACCACTCTTTATTGAAGGCTAGTTGCTATTAGGCGAAACGAAATTGTGCTGGTCTGTCCTTCAAGAATGACTGGGCGTCGAGCCGTTGAGCAGACCGTGGATACATCAGACATCTTGAACCTAATAAGTGAATCGAAAGTGAACGGGTCAACAGGTGCTGAAGATTTCACCTCTTGGTTACACACAGAAAGTGTTATCCCACGGGATCACAAGCTGACGGCGGTGAAACAGATAGCCTCCAAACCACTAGTCTCCAGACCACTAGTCTCCCAGACCACCGCTGGTCTCCAGACCACTAGTCTCCAGACCACTAGTCTCCCAGACCACCGTACCGGCTTTGTCCGTACCCACACACTACGGATCGAGCTAGAAGAAGAAGGGAGAACAGAGCAAGCACGCACAATACAAGGCAACAACGTTGGCCGTGGCCCTGTCTGTGTGATGGCAAATCTGAGCTCTCTTTACTGAGTTGTCTTGGTGCCCTATTTATACAACTCTATCTATCTAACTAAAGTACAGCGCACATGCTGTAACAGTAACTAGATAAGCATACAGGGCTGACTCTGCGCCGGCCACTGCATGTGCCTACAGTGCTGCAGGTGAGCCGTGCGGCGTCTGTACCTACAGCGGCTACAGTATCACAGCAGGGGGCAAAGTCGGCACCGCCTTCCTCTGCTGTGTTCACACAAGGTGGCAGTAGATTAGCTAACAGAAAGAGGCACCATCACTCAGCTTCAAGTGTTCTTCGTGCTATCGGTTCTCCTGCACGCGGTTCAGGTCGTCTTGGGCTGGCGGCGGCGGTGCTCTACAAATGCATACATCAAGCACTCGCTCTGGCTGGCCTACACCATCAACACCCCTCTTGTGATCTATACTCTTGGGCTTGCACGGTCGTCTCCGCCTTCTGCCGCGAGCCAGTTGCTTCAGCGTGTGCTTTTCCGTTCGTCATGGCCCTGGGGAGCACCAACTCCATGACAGCCTACAGTGTTGACGACAACAAGCAGTACATGAGGCACTTCATCCAGCAGCTTCTTCGTGTGCTCAGCCTCTTCGCCATGTGGAGAGCTAACGAAACAATTCTTACAAGCTCCAGTTTCCTTGTGCCCCTCTTGTATCTATTCTTGACTGCTTTGTTGCTCTCAGTGAATGGGGGGAGGATTTACGCAAGCATGACTGCGAGCAGTTTCCTGGACAAACAAAGCAGATATGTTCAACTTCACATGAAGAGTGAGCACACGAAATCAACCAACTATAATCCTGTTACCCTGCATGGTTACATACCCATTCTACGAGGACTATTATGACCACGAAGACACAATAATTACGCTAGACAGGATCTGGTGCTCTAATGAAGGCCCATTAGGCACAAGTGATGGCCAACAGCTGAAGGAGGCATGCCTTTCGTTTTCCTTGTTTCGGCTGTTGAGGCGCCGTTTCTTTGGGCTTGCTTGTCCAGAAGCCAAAGCCAAGATTAAGAAAACTTGTCACCTTGTTTTCAAAGGATTGCGACGTGCAGAGGAAAACTATGAAGCTGCATATAGGGTGATTGAGGCAGAGCTGGCTTTTGCACATGATCACTTCTTCACCAGCTGCGCTTCATTCTACTGAGCATTGCTAAATCTGTTATATATCCTGTCACAATACTGAGTTCGATCAAGGACTTCATCCACAGTAAAAAAAAGAGCAGTGACTCAACGGGGACAGTAATCGGAGTAGGATTTGACCCCATCGTTACTGCACTAGTAGTAATGGTAGTGCTTATAGCACTGGAGCTGCTGCAGCTCTATCTTTATTTGTCATCTGATTGGGCTAAGGTAAAGCTTGTTCGCCGGTCTATATATTTTTTTCTCAGAACAAATAAGACAGCGCTGGTCCATCTTTGGGGCAGACACTTGTTTTGGAATGTTTGGCCTCTTCATTTTCTTGGACTTGATAGGCATTGCAATAAGCTTCCCAGGATATTGGGATATTGGCAAAATAAGGTTGGCCAGCACGCATTACTAAAGGATTTGCATGGCCGATCATACATCGCTGATATCATGGGAGGCATGTCTGGGTGTTTCTTTGGTAAGTGTCTTGAGTTCCATCCGGTATTCTCAAGAGGGATCTTAAACTCATGCATCAAGGGGCCATACCACATTCAGTTGACCATCGAAGTGAAGCTAGCAATTGCCAGAACTCTGAAAAAAGCCAAAAAGCGTCGCCTATCAAATGGAGCATCCTCATTGCAACGGAACAAACAGAGTGAGCTTCGATGGGCATTTGATCACACCAAAACCATGTTGATTTAGCATGTCGCGACTGAATATTGTGATATTGCAACATCAGATGGAAACGAAGTAGATGGTTCAGTTCCCGATCGTACTATTTCCACAACACTATCAAGTTACTGTGCATATCTGATGGCATTTGTCCCAGAGCTGCTGCCTGACGAAGAATTAGATACCAGAATCACATTTCAGGAGGTGAGACTTGAAGCACATAATATGTTGTCTAAAGACACTACACTGCATGCAAAATACGTGTGGATGAAGCATTATAAGGAACAGCAGTCTGATCATGAGCGAATTTTGATTAAAGGGATCCTGCTTGGAAGGAAGCTTGAAGAGATAGGAGATGACATCCGCTGGAAGATACTAGCAGATTTCTAGACTGAGATGATACTATTCACAGCTCCATCACACAATGTAAAAGCTCATATCGAGCACCTGGCAAATGGAGGAGAATTTCAGACTCATCTTTGGGCCTTGCTTTTCCACGCTGGCATTCTAGAGAGAAGAAAGTGTAGAGCTTCGACTGGTGCAAATGGGCTTAGCAGTTTAAGGCCTTGACACCGCCTTTGGCAACGTAATGGGACTCTTGCTTTGCATTTTATGACTGAGCTTAGTGACTTGGTCGGGCCTTTAGATAAAGTGGCATCATGAAATTGCAGAGAAATATGATAATGGGTTGCCCGAAATACACAGGATGTGCCATAGTAATTCCCAGGAAGAAGCTTTGGTGCAGAAGCCACTAAAGTATGCACAGTACTTGGACAGTTTTGTCAGAATGTCAAGATGGCTGTTGAGTTTTCCTTGGGCATTTGCTCCTATTTCACAGTAACCTGTTGCAACGTGCCAAGTCAAAATAACATGCACCTGCAGATTGTTGTCCCTTTCCTGGGCGCTGCTTGTGCCAGATTCTAGCTTCATCTCGTCATGCCTGCAAGCCCACAAAAGGTCACCTGCTCCACTGGACAGCAGTGATGATTCCGCATTTGTAAGGAAACCTTGAGTACGTTCAAGGGACTGGAGCAGTGCCTCCTTCACTTCTGCAGGCAACTCTATCAGTTTCCCAGTCCAAGGTTTTACATGGGAGAACGTACTGAAATAGGATCGACTGGGATTGTAGCGCTCTGATTCAAATAACGAGTACATCCGAAGCTTGTTTTGCCGGTTGCATTCATTTTCTTGACCAAACCAGTAGTGATATTTGTTTGAGATGGATGCACCGATCCTATAATAATATTGCTAGGAGTCTCTTCACTGTTCAGTGCTTGCTGCTCTCTGACAGAGTGACAAGCCAAATACACTTTGCCACAAATGGTCGTCCAGTAAACCAGCAGCTGTAGAAATTCAAGCACTGCAAAGGATTCAAACAACAGTAGAGTGATGAATGTTGGAAATAATCCTTGCGCCGGCCGGCAAATAATATACGCGATGCTTGCAGCGCGAGCAGACTTTTTTGGTCAGTGGGCCGTTTCTTTAGTGGGCTGTTTCGCCGGCAACATGGCATGCATAAAAATCCAAAACTGCTGACATCAACACATGTCCAATGCTTTTTGAAGTAAACAAAATGTTATAGCTGCTAAACCAAGTATCGAAATTAAAATATGATTGCACCATTGTATTCCTTACAATAAATTCTTCAAAACAAAACCTCGCATGGATACATTTAAATAAAATTTTATCGACGAACATTTATCTCATGAAGATAGAACAATTCTTTTTATTGAGTACAACGATGTTCTAGGTCCACGATAAAATATTCCGTCATTATAAAACAAATGTTCTAAGGTAAGGAGAATAATATTTTACATTTAGGATAAAAACAATATATGTTCATGTGAATGGTATTATAATATATGTGAAAATAGAAGGAAAATGAATGAGAAAATCTATGAAATATATAGAAATAGATAAATAACTTAACATATCAAAAATAGAAAAAATAATAAAAGATAGAACAAGGCATAAGGGAAGACAAAAATAATAGAAAGGAAAAAAGTCCACGTAAAAAGAGGAAAAATAAAGAGAACAACATGCTTACTTGAACAACCTAAAATATACCACAAAACATCTAATAGGTCATGTGAATATTTTCTCACATGTATACCACGTGAACATCATAAAATACATCAAAGAACATCACATGTATAACCACATGAACATCACAAAAAACATCATAGAGCATCACATGTATAATACATGAACATCGCAAAAATACATCATAGAACATCACATATATACGACATCAACATTATAAAATACATTATAGAACATCACATGTATACTATGTGAACATCACAAAATACATCATAGAAAATTATTGTATACTACGTGAACATTATAAAATCTCATGGAATACATAAAAATTAAAAAGTAAACATGAAAAATAAAATAATTAATTAGAGTAAAATAGAAAAAAAGAAAGTAAAAAACCTATAGAAAACATAAAGGCAAAAGAGAAAAAGGAAAAAGAAAGAAAAACAAAAAAGAATAAAACACAAAACAAAAATAAAATAAAACAAACAAATTAATTAATTACAGTAAAAGTAAAAAAGAAATAAAAGAAAAATAAAGAATATAAAAAATGAAAAGAATGATAATAATTCACTTAAAACAAAATTAATTAAATAAATTGAAGCACGGAACTAAAAAAGAATAAAGAAAAAAAGAAAAAAAGAAACAAATATAAGAAAGATAAAAATATAGGAAATGAAAAGAATAAAAAAATCACACAACACAAAAAAAATAATTTGATGCAGAAAAAAGAAATAATAAAAAAGAAAGAAAAGAAAAAAAGAAAAGAAAAGAAAAAAGAAAAATGAAAAAAATGAAAAATGAAAAGATCCAACAGAGAAAAAAGAAAAGAAAAAGAAAAATGAAAAGATCTAGTGGCGATGTGGACACGTAACTCTTTTGAACCTCCCTCCAGCGGTGTATTGTTATTGGGCCGGAAGAAATAATAAAAAGCCCATAAAAATAGGAGGGAGCGCTGTTCGGCGGAATTGCTCTATCACAGCCTGATTTGTAGCTCACGTTTGGCTATATAAGTAGAAGAGAAAAACAGAAAAGGCTAAGTCTTTCCGGCCACCAAAACCACTTGTGCTCGTGTGTGTTTCTTGTGTGTGAGTTCCTGGTGTCCTGTTAGAGGCATATTTGCCTTTCGATGAAAACATCAGCGGTTGTGGTGGTAGCAACACGAGACCAATTCCTGACACGGAGAATGCTTGGGCGTATACTGTTGCAGTCTACCAGTGATGTTAATAGGATAGGTGCAATGCAGAATTTTAATTTTAAAACTACAAGAGGTATGATGCCAGATACAAGCAAATTGGGTCGTGCTTATTTTCTAGCATGGCGACCATTAAGATTACTGAAGGGAGTTGTCTTCGTGATTCTTCATTTTGTACGAGAGAATTCATCTCGAGGTGGAGTTTGTTGATTTGTGGTCCGAATTACTAACATGCTACATGCACCCACCTTTGGACACTCAAAAATAGCTTGTACTAAATCGATGAGGCATTTCTGTTAGCGTACTCACCAGTTGCATGCATAGCTTTCTTTTAGCCACTCAAGTTTTGAGTTACATGCATGCCTAGCCTATATAATCCTGTTGAATGTCATATGTGTTTCAGCGTTTAACTACACTTGCACTTGCAATTCACTCGGGATGAATTAACCAGTCATTGTAAATCCATTGCATAAAAATCAGTAACAAAGAATTGTGAAACCGCAGTCACCTAGATCAAGTAAATCCTTATAGGAAGGTGACAAATGAAACAACATGATAAAAAAAGTTGTATAGTATCACATATATAGATCAAGTATGTAGCACCCGGTTTGTTTTAAGAACAAAACCAGATACACACCATATGTGAGATCAGGAAGTCAAATCTTACATATAGCTACAAAGAAGGGTAATATCAAAAGACAATGCTTAATATATAACGTATTTAGTATAAAGAATATAACCTTATACAGCAAACAGCGGAAAGACAACTCCGATCTTCAGGTGAAGACTCCAATTCCACAGGGACAACTGACTGGTTGATCACAAACATAATTGCTCCAAACTCTAGCAATCTGGTACCCATCCGGGATTTTTTCAAAGATTTAAAAAGTAAAGCAAGCGTAAGTATATGTCATACATGGGGTTCATGAGGCTCAAAAGGCTGACATTGGTTTAACTGCGATTAGCTTTTAATGGTCACAATTTTAGCATAGGAGTAGCAAAAAGTTTATTCACAAGCCCATATAAACACATGATCAGGTAAATATGAATAATGAATAGCATAAACAATTAACCATTAATGAGCATCTTTATCATCAGTATCATCAGTGTTCATCATCATTAACCATTAATGATCATTTATTCCGTAAGGGTTCAAAGGCCGCTCGTGACTGTGAGCACGGCTAATATACCAGTTTTACACTCTGCAGAGGTTGTACTCTTTCACTGTGAGTCGTGATTTAGCCTTTCGCCCGATGTCGCGAGCCTCTTAACCCACTACCAAGGAAGGTCGGCATGGTTCACTATGAAGCCTTTCAAAGGTTCGTCTAACAAGTTAGGGCCGCTAAGGTTTTCCCATCAATAAGCATGAACCGCCCCTCCAAGGACTGACTAACAAGATACCAAGAAACCAAAGTGCACCATCTTGGCAGGCCGAGATCATACCTGTCGGAGCCCCTCTTGCGCCATAAAGGTAACCACTAACGAGCTAGAAAAGGTCCTCATACTGAGCTAAAGCCAGAGAGCCATATAGCCCACACAGCTGTACTGTAAGTCCTGGATGATCACTTATAGATAAGTCCTTAGGGAGAGGAATCTAGAGTATTTAGAAAGTAGCTAAACACTCCAGCCTCCTGTTTCTATATTGCTAAAAAGTCATATTTTAATGTTTATTGCATATACCATTGGTCAAGTTACAAGATCATGGCTTTAGTTGAGCACTAGCATCATACGACCTAATGCATAAACCCATAGGAATCAAGGTACAAGATATCAAATATCTAGGATATCCTTATTGGCAATCAAGATAGACACATGCAATATAAATTAAATGATTAAAGGTGTATAGGACAACAAGGAAGATCCCATGCTGTACTTGCCTTAAACTCTGATCCTTCTTCAAGTCCAAAACTTCAAAGGAACTCCTTCATGATCAACACGTAAAACTCACCGACTTCACATGATCATAAAACACCACACAAGCATCCATGCAATCATACATGAAGCAAACAATAGATCTAAATTAGAACAGTACACCAATCAGTGAAAAAGAATTTGAAATCAAATCTGCTCGTTGCTACAATCACACAGGTGCGAAGAGCACGCTAATCGGAGCTACGGTAAAAAAAATACATCTACCGATAGATTTGCTTTATAT